TGGCACGTACGTAACAATACGCATAATAAAAAATGCATTCATCAAACACAAACGGTCGAATTTCTTGCAACAACAAAGAGGAAGAAAAGCGCGCGTCTCGAGATCCGGAAGAGGCGGATTTGTTCCTTTCTTCCTATACAGAGGAGTTTCCATCGCACAAATCCACCAATAAAGCCGGGCGTTTACCACACTTGCTGCGACAGCTCCGACTTCCCTTCGCGTCGAGAGAAGAAAACTCCTCGAGATGGTCCAAGGATGGACCTTGCGAAGACTCTTGCAAATGATCGATCTCGTAAAACGGTGATGCTCCCTCACGTATGAATCGAGGCACGTTCGCCTTCCTAGGCTTCATAAGGGATACAGTAAAATTCTGGTCGCGAGATGGAAGCTCCTGATCTCAGCGCACGTTTGAGATCGCACGTGTCCTGGCACACACGCGTGCGATGTCAAAGGTACCTACTGGATACAAAATATACGTCGTATTAAGATCTGAACGATTGCAAAGGAAATTTAACACTTTGCCTTGTCGCTTTCAAACGAATTTCTGCAAGGACTCTGTCACTCAAAGATATAGATAACGACTTTACTTACAGTCGGAAATTATTTTATGAAGTATTTATAAAGATATCGATAGAAAATGATGAAAAAATTATTTGTATAATATAATAATTTATTGAAAATTAATTTATCTAAAATTATAAATAACATTATTAATTTGAAATTGAAGTGTCCATCGTTTTTCTTTTCTAGATAGATGCAAAAACAGTTTAATATTGAATTACATAGGATTTTTATGATTCTGAAGCATTTTTATTATCCTATTAATATAAAAAGAGTTATTGTATTATGAAACACATTTAATTATTTATTGGAAAAATAAATATAATGTCTTTTCTATTTTCATTTTTATGTTAAATTCAAATGAAAATAAATATAAATGCTAATTACAGAGAAGAAATTCGCAAAGTAGATTTTATTTTTTAAAAAATTATAATAGGAAATAAAAAGTAAAAGAATTAGTAAATCTAGACTAGTTAGAGATTTCAACTTCTTTTCTTATTTAACTTACTTTTCTTTCGATTTTATAAGAGTTGCAATTGTTTTGCACAGTTTTAAAACATTCAATTCGTAATTGAAGGACTAAGGAATTCAGGAATTTCCAATATTTACCTAATTCTTTTTTACATTAGTGATATAAGTAGCTATTTTTGCATATCAATTACTCAAATGTGATTTCGTAGGACAACATCATTTGCTTTCCATTTACGCACAAGTGAAACTGAGTCTGAAGTGAGCTGAGTATTTCATATTCAGATTAATGACGTCATTATTTCCTTACTTTGATAAAAAGTTATCACATGACAACAATCTCACTAAAGTGAGTTTACGAGGCACACGATCTCGATCTTGTACAGATTAAACAAAAACTCAGTTAAATCTCATTTATTAGAATGCAAAAGAGAGGAACAAGCATTCAACTGAGTTATGACGTCACACGTGAGAACTAACTGAGAATCTGTATAAATAGAAAGCAACTATTATAGAACAATATATTACTCTTTTGCATTTTTTTCTTGCGACATAGAAAGTTTTTTTTTTTAATTGACCTTAGCGATCGATAATGTATGATTTTGTATACGATCTCGACTTCTCTTGAATTCTTTCCAAGGCGCATGATTGAAATTAGCGTGGCAGGTGTTAGAGTTTGGGAACGAAAATTGAATGAAATCCATAATTTGTAAGACCCGCTTTAAGTACAATTTTATCCTTGAATTATAAAATTAGCTCGCTCTCTTATTCGGAATATTTAATTTAAACGCATAAATTGGACGACGCTTTCGCACGCTTAAGGACAAAAATATTAACGATCTGAAACTTAGAACTAAGAACACTAAGCGTCAGCCTTCTTATAAGTTAAATTTAAACTCCCTCCTTAGGAGGATAAAGAATATAATTCCCAAAGTCAAAGCTTTCGGCTCGATTTTGCAACATTTTACGAGCGCCCGACGGTTTCTCTTTTCCAGGAGAACGATACGATACGTTTTCGCGTGACTCTGGAGGACGAGGTACCCGCGGGACAGCAGCCGAACATCGTCGGCGTGGACGCTTACGTGATTGTACTGGATGAGAACGATAATCCGCCGCACTTCCTGGGTGTGCCATATGAGGCGGTCGCCGAGGAGGACACCCCGGTCGGCTCCACCATACTTCCGGGCATCAGGGTCGTGGACCCTGACCTGCTGGGCGACATTATAGATCTAACGTGCGTCCCGCAGCCACAGGTGAGTCATTAATACGCGTTAGCGCGCGCGGTAATGTCCCGTGAAAGATATTTTTATCTGGTCTCTCTCCCGACGATCGAATTTCTTGCCGCCTTTTCCCACGTGGGATTTTCTCCGGTGGAGGAAAATTTCAACCGGCGAGTCGTACCCTTCTGATCCACCGTCTTGGAAAATCCGTCGTTGATAGAATTACGTAGAGAACAACATGCTTTCTTTCTATCTCTTTATCTCTCTTGACTTAATATCTTTACGAAGCGTACTTTCCAACAAAAAATGCGAGATCTTTTCTTACTTATCTTCTTCCGAACTGGTGATCGAGTAAAGGCGTAATGTACTCTGACAGGTCCCATATGGATTCGTACAGCAATTTTCTTGTTAATATTGCTGTTATTGTATACTGTGTATGTTAAAGTGACTAATCGTCTCAAATTAGAAGGAACAGTTTTAAATTTTAACTCTTCATACCACTTTACAACGCATTCTAAATTTCATCCCAAATTAAGGATATGATTATAAATTGTCCTTTTTCTAAGTGTAAAAATTATAAGTGTGAAATATATTATTTTCAACTAACATGATTTTTTAATTTAAAAATCCAGATATTGAATGTATTTATAAAATATTATACATTCAATAGTACAATATGTACGATTTAAAAAAATAATATGTGATTTCATAAGTTGATCAAATTTTTGTTGTACTCTCATGTTATACATTAAATGTCATTACTTATTTACAAATATAATAATATAGGTAATATTGTTTATGTGTTTCATTAATTATAAAAAAGTGTTTATTTCTTAAAAGTTTCCTTTCTTATAAAGAAGTTAATTATCTTAATGTATGTTGTTTTCTCTTTCAACATAGAGAAAGATTTCACGTTGAAAATGAATGAACCAGTAGATTCTGATCAGAATTATAGTCCTCATAATCGAACATCTGGTTATCTTAATTTTAATTGATATGGTTTAGAATCTACTGTCTATTTTCAACTAAAAATTTTTCTCAGTGAGAAGTGAAGTCCACAAACTCTGAGCTGCAGTTTATTTCATAACTTCACGTAGGTACTGTAAACTTTTTTGTGTTTATTTGAACATTCTGTCTCTCTATCGATTTTCAATCGGCATCGATTAAATTATTTATTCTGTTTCAATATATATATATA